ATAAATAATCCGAATAATGCATAAATAATCGCAGTAATAAATGGCAACTGATGAAAATAGATAAACTTAGCATTCGTTATCAGTAATACCAGCTATATCAGTTTTTAAGATTTTGCTTAATCGTAACTTCTGTTAAATAATCGAGAACTTGCTAACGAGCTCGACTCGAAGTTATTTGAAGAATTTAACGTTGATTTTCTTAAACTCAGACTATAAAGAGATAATCTAGGAAGAGATCAGAGATTCCAGGAATATTCATCGTGAAACGATGGGAGATAATTTTATTTGGTTTCGTAAAGTCAGAAACCGCCGTATTATTCCAAAATTGCGAAAAACTCGCCGCGATAATCGTGCAAAAAGACAGACGAAACTATTAAATTATTCAGGAGCCATCTCGAATTGGATATTTTCCCGATGCTCCAAACTTCATCGACGACAATCTGTTATTCTTCAATTTAGACTAAAAACGTGGCGCTAACCGAAAACCCGATAGCAACGTTCTGATCGATTTTACGTAGATTCTCTAAATTGAAATTTAATTCATCCACGTTGTTAAATCAACTGATGCTATAATCACTATTAGTTCATCACGCGATGCACGTAACTATCGTATTAGCATTCATCACATCGTATTCATTATCACTCAAATTTAATATCGATTAATATCAATATTTTGCAGTATAAAGTTGCCAATCAGTGTATTAATAGATCTGTTGTGAAAATGTATCGAGTATTCTAGAATTACTAAATCCGCTAATATATTTTTCAATTGTCGACAAATTACTAATATTAAAAATATTTAACATCAAATGCAAATAATCTGTAACATTAAACAATGGTTTATTAATATTAAATCATAGCTATAATGATATTCTATTTTGATGACATTAATATTCGATATTGTTAAAGTATACATAAATAAATCTGTTTTCTGAATTATGTACACTTTTACCTCAAGTAAAATACAGATTGACAAAAAAGTTTCTAAGACAAAATTTTGTGTTTTACAAAATCATTATAATATATTCAAAAGAAATCAAATACTAAAGTATTAATTATATCTTATCAGTTATATCTTAAATATTAGAATTGCATCAAAAAATGTTTATTAATTAGTTAATTGGAGACCGTTCTTTAACTGCCTACCTAGAAAAATTTATCCGTGAAAAGATATGCGACTTTAGTGTTTAATAAGATATAACTAACAGTCCATAGTTTGTATTTTGTAAATATATGTTGCTACAATGCTTTGATAAGCACAAAACATTGTGGCCAAATTTTTATATCATCCTATAGGTATATGTTTAATATTTGACAAAAACAAGAAAGCATTTTTTGTAGCGCAAACTATAGTACAAGAATAAAAACACAAACCTATTATATCTAATTGCATCTTAATGGAAACAAAAATGTCGTACTCAATGTCGCGGTCAGAGGTGGAAAAAAAACTGTAATCAATCGAACTTAAAACAGGCTCTCGGTGAGTACAAATCAGGAAGAACAGAACGAAGAAACGACTGCTCGTAATGAGAGCTCGAGTAACCTAGAGAATGAGAGAAAGGAAGATAAATAGACGAGAGGTAGGCCGCGGAGAGACTGAAGAAATAGAGCTAAGAAATGGCCTCTTGAGGATTAGAATGAATTCACCGCGGACGAAGACTGTGCAATTCTCATTTCTCCGTCTGTATTATGCCTCTTTCACACAATCGCCCCCCATTTGACAAAATTCCATTACTAATTCTTACAAACAAATAAATAAAATAACATTCTGTTGTGAAGAATTACACTCTAAATAATGTTAATTTAAACATACAGGTCTGAATTCTCAATGCTTTTATCGATAAATGCGCGATTTTATTTCAGAAATTCAATAATATTTATGACGTGAACTATAATATTGAATGTGCGCTAACATTCTCATAAACGTGTTCTGAATATAAGCTATAAATTACTATTAGATATTTCATCAATCCCTTCCTTTCTACGTATATCCGCGGCACGTTTGTGTAACATTTTTTAAATTGTCTATATATAACACGTTATGAAAGATGAAATAACGCGTTTCAATTTTTATAAACACAGATGTTATCATGCAAGTATTTTGCAACATAAAATTCTATCGTATTTCAGATCGCGTAATAGAGACTTTAGATCAGTGGGAGGTTACCGTCCTCTTCCATCGGAATCACCACGATCCTTTTCTTCCTCCTGAGTCAGCCTTTCCTCCATTCTCACCCCTCGCGTCTCGCACTACTCCGATGCGATTTCTCTTCTTCTTCTTCTTCTCCTTCTTTCTCACCCCTTGAATTGCTCGATGGCGGTTCAGACGGTGCCGGCAACGTGTCTTTTGTCCGCAGACCGGTTTCTGCCGGTTCCTCGAACCATTTATTTCCCTCGTCCCTCGGCTATATATGACTGTACGTTCCTTCTCACTCCGCTTCTCCCCTCGCGTCCTCTCCTGTAACTCGTTCTTCCCAATACGTTCCTCTCATGCCGTTCTTTTTCTCACTGTATCTCCCATCGCCTACCATCTCGCCCTATACCACCCTCGATTATGTTACATCCTTTTTTCGGTCAGAGCATCGTACCACACTGGCCGGCTCTCGCACTCGAAATAACGCCCCGATTCCTAGCAGCCTCCCGAGTCCATGAATGAACGCGGCCCGAATTGCTCGGAGGCATGGAGGAGACGAGGAGTCACCGAGCCCGGCTTGCTGACCTTCGCGCGGGTCGATTCGGTGCGCATCTATCGACGACGGGGACGAGGGCGACGACGACCCCGTTTGACCTCGCTTCATCGACCACGCCGAAGACCTGGACACTGGGTCGACAGAACTATGCAGTAGCTCACGACCACGTAGGCTCTTCCGCCTTGGCGTCGGAACGTACAAGACCATGGAGGGGGAGAGTTATAGTTATTGGCCTCGATAACTGGCGGTTTATTGGCGATGCTATTTCTTACGGGTGTATCCCGTGCGACACTTTGCCAACTTTGCGTGATGTCACGCATACTCCTAAATTAATGTTCTTATCTAGAAACAAATAATGTTTCTCTGCACTGAGAAAAAAAAAGTTGAAATATTATATGTGATGTTTTCTTCGATATTTATTGGTTATAAACAAATTTGACTAAGATGACAAAATATATATTTCTGTGAAATATATCCCATTAATGGTAAAAAAATAAAATAAATAAGTTATCTGCGAGAAATATAATTTTATTTCGTATTTAAATAAAGATTTATTTCAGCAAAATAAATATCAAATCACATTAAATAAATATTTAAGTATTTTTCTCAGTGTGTAATGTTGAATGTAAAAAAAAAAAAACGAATAATATATTCAGATGTGGACTAAAAATACTTTGAACATTTCTTTGTAAAAATTCAAAGATTGTATTTCTGCACTGGGTAATCACCGTGTGAGTAACGTAATCTTTTAGTATTGTAATCTTTTAATATTTAAAGTTAAATGATTTTGCATTACTGAGTCGTGATATCAAATAAAGCTTAGAAATTTACTGTTTCAATTACGCTGCAAAAACAGCTCTTGTCAACTCTTAATTTTCAATCACTCGTGATGTGAAAATTACTCATATTCTAACGAAAGAGAAACTTTTGCATATTAATTAAAAGCAATACGGCATCGCAGGTTTTCTTTAATTAATGCGGATTATTCTCTAATGTAGAAACATCCTTAATATACTTGGAAAGTGAAAAAAAAATATGATAAAGTTTCAGGTATGACACGTCTCATTGTTCCGTATCGGAAACAGCAATGGTATTATTTTCCTTAGCAACAATCAGTTTTTACGCACTTCCTGCGCCCTAACTCGCGATGTTTACGAGCGCTTGTCGATGTACGACACGACGCGAGCGCGATATCACAGTGCTTTTATCGCGCTTTTATTATGATACCCGAGACGCCAGGGATCGCGTTGTTAAATCAGAACCCTTTCGTTCGTCTTGTTGTGCGCGCGCGCGCGAGGGCGAGATCGCTCGTACGATCGATTGGTGAAACGATCCCCCCAGACAAACACAGGTAAGAATGGCACGTCGAATAAGAGCGTGGTAACGGCTATCAGAAACCGAGCGCCGGATAAGCTTTTACTATCCGATAACGATTAACGGCCGTCGGCTGCGATTGTGCTGGCCTGACCCGAGTATCGGCCGACCGACCGATTGCGTTCATCGACTTAAAAAGATTTATCGGCGCACGGCGCCCGCTTCGAGTTCGCCTCTCGATGAAGTCGGAGAAACTCCGACGTTGTACGAACCCCGCTGCGAAAGTTCACTACCTTCCGAACACGATTAAAACAGTATTCATCAGCGCGCAAATACCGCACCACTTCCACCCCAGAGAGAAATTAGCGGGGCAGACATTCTGCGAACCGACTAATGAATTTCGGGCAACCGAGCTGCTCCCGCACTTCCTACGAGAGAGAGAGTGAGAGAGAGGGAGTTTCTCTCCATTTGCGTTCTCATTAAATCTCAATTTCAAATAGCACGCCACTCGCGATTATCGTCGGTCGTTTCGAGGAAAGTTCCTCGCTTTCGAAATTGACTATCATTTACGGAAAAATCCAAGAGACTTAAGTTTCTAAAAGGTTCTTTTCTCGTACTTCGAAATCTCTCTCCTTCTTTCTCTCTCTCTCTCTCTCTCAATAAGTTTAATTACTTTAAATATCTTAATATTTCTATATAAAATTCTTTGATATAATTCATTTAAATGAATTATAATTATAACACTAATGTTAAAACTTGTAATAATATTAATACTTGTAAGTTGTATTTGGAATAAATATTTGGCAAAGGTCTTTGATTTTTCGCAAATGATAGTCCATAATAGTGCGATATTTTGTGTCATATGATATTTTGCAAATTTACTGACAATACCGAAATCTCCCTCGTGTGATAAAATAATTTCAAAAAATATAAATTGTGAATCATAATTGCGCATCGGCGTCTCAAGAAAAAAAGTAAACCTCGAAAGTCGCTTACCTTTTTCGAGCTGCTGTGATATCGGGCTTTGTACCCTCGGAGTAGTCTGCAACTGTGCTGCGTTTCCTGGTCGTCTTCGAGGCCTTCTTCCGGGTCGTGGCTAAACCAATAAAAGAGACAAATTTTTATTTATTATTATTTATATTTATATATTATTATTTACTTTGATAACTATATGTATAATTCTATCAATAATATATTGTCCGACCGAAAATTATTACAATTATAGTTATTTTATTACCGTAAAAATTATTGTAATTCCATAAATTATAAATACATATGTTTTGGAAAACAAACAAATATCCCAAAAATAATTATAAATTATAGTAATTTCAATTTTTTTTATTGTAACAATAACTATAATTATAATAATTTTTCGATTGTCGATTATACAATATTTGTTTTTAATAAAAATATACTGTACAATGTAGTTATTGTTGCTGATATTATAGCAGCAGTAATCATAACAATATGTAATTATAATTACAAATATAATATAAATACCGAAAATTTTTCTTTCAGAGTATATGCAAACGTAAATTTTTATTGCCCATTCAAATATATAGAAATATTTTTACAAAGTTTTAGTAATATTTTGCAAGAATATAAATTTTGAATAAAAGTAGAGAAATTGTGAGATTATTATTTCAATTTATGATCGCGACGATAACTATCGCACAGCTTATATATAACTGAAAGGTACAATTTAAAATTTACATAGAAATATTATCAAACACTTAATCTAGCCTCGACCGTGTTTGGTACTTTCTTCCTTGTTTGATTTAAAAGTAGATTGATCTGCTTAAATAAACGTGACTATTATTCTGATTTTTAACGAAGACAAATCGCAGACATAGATTGAGCATCGAATGCTGATACATCGCGTGCAACGAAAATGTTTTCATGCTTTCTTTCAGAGTCAGCTGACTGTAGGTTAAAATAAACGATTGTACCGATTTATTATAGCTCGACCGATCACGCAGATTACAGACACGCCACGGACATTGCGGCTCAACTATAATTATACACTGCGGCAGAATCGATTTTCGGTGATTACAGAACTCGTCAAAATAATAATATCCTTATAATAATATATAAAGCAGTAATAAAACGAGTAAAAAATAATGTGTGTATAATAAAAAATTAAGTAAAATCGCTACTCTTTTTGCCTTGTTTTCAGGAAACGCTCATAACAGATATCAAAGTGTATGTATACTAGAAATAACGTGCTACATTCTACATGGTGGAAATACAAGAAATAATCGTTTTAAATATCTCAAACGTATGGCATAGATAAAAGACGTTTGCTACATCTTTTCGAGCAATCGGTAGCACATGTGACATTCGTGCAACTTTTGCCACGGGGAAAATCGTGCAGCAAGACTTTATAGACTCTCGATGGCTCGGGATCTCTATCTCCTTCCTACATCATTTTCGTCGTCGTTGTATTTCATTATCCTTCGTCCTTGTCTGCGCTATATATGTGATACATATGTACGTATATATCCACAGTCAGATAATCGTAACAGTCCGGGCTCTTCGTCGCCGCTCGTAAAGTCACTAGCATCCGAAGAACCAGCTCGGAAGAAACGAAGCGGACTAGGACAAGGCGGGTTACCGTCTTTGTTTAACTGCCGCGTTTATTGCCGCGGTGATAAACGGATGCGCGCTTCGAGATAAACGTGAGCGAGCGAATGTCTCGCGTATACATGCGGAAACGACGACCAAATTTTAACGACAAATTTCTACGACGAGAGTTTAAAGTCTAACGTTCCTTAGCGAGACTCTCTCAAGGGACGTTGTAATTAAATTCAAAATTACAAACCAACATTCTGAAAAACTATGGTCTAAACAAACAGTAAGGTTTTCATGCTGTATTGAGAGGAGATACTTTATTTTCAATCGTTCGGAATTTATTGGCCCTTCTTCGAAAATTTAGTTGAGTAAAGTATTCACTCTCTTGTTAAAATTGCATAAGATAGCAAGTAGAGAAGATGTTCTACGTACATTAATTAAACCACGAGATAATGTACCGTAATATAATACTGCAGAGCATAGCAACGAAAAGAAAGGGGACGAAAATAAGTGCAGACTTAAATTACCGGAATTCGTTGTGTCAGGGTATTCTAGGCATCTCTTAATAAAATCCTAGACTTCCGCAAAAATGAAGTTAGGTCTTGAGAGTGCTTCGTTAAATTACTGAAATTTTTTACACCTAAGTTTCCTCTCCGGGGTATAATGCCGTTTGGCATACTGTAATCTTCCTTAGCATACCAAACGCGATCATCTCGCACGACTACACGTCTTCCAGCACAGATCCTATAACTACACGCGATACAAACAAACGCAAATACAAAAATAGTCTTCAGAGAATTAATATTCTTTTTTTCGTGTTATGAGTATCGATCTTTTAATAATTCAATATTTTATCAAACGTATACCAAGTCTATACTTTTGATTATATTTTTCATTTATAATGACTTTCAATTACAGTGATAAAGTTAATGTGTCTACTTTTTTATCTCGATACATGTATCTCTTTTGTTATCAATATTAATAGCATAAAATATATATTTCAACTTTTATTAAAAATTAATATTATAATGCTGTATACTTCAATAATATAAATATCAGTCACAATTGTTACAATAAGATCATCAATGATGTTAATTCTGGCGGAGTAAATGCCGGCAGCAAGTAGTAATAACTCCGCTATTTAGACCTAATCCTCCGAGGTATTACGTCACTGAATGAAAGCGCGCCAGCATAGAAGATTTCCAAAGTCACGACCAGAGAATCAAGAGAAATTTCTCGAATTAATGTTACAGAAAAATTAATTCTGCATTCCTGGCTATGCACAGGTCACCCTTTGTTGGCTGCACTTTCGCATTTCTGTACGAGAAAAGAGAGCGAGGTTCTACGAGACGAGCTGCGTGCGCGTTCGTGCGAAAGAATCCACCCTCTCGTATATTCTGCCTTTCTTCTCCTCTCTCTCTCTCTCTCTTTCTCTCTCTTGTGTGTTTTATTGCAAATTGAGGTTAAAGTCTCTGGCACGGAGCCAGGCATTTCACCTAGGCGGTTGCATTCCGGCAGATACACATAAGCGTTATATGCTCGCTTATGTGTCTCGCGCGCACACGAGAGCATCTCGATCATGTATACGCGAAGAGAAGAGCTCTTACGTGCTGCCTGCAGGCTCTGAAGTACGATTTACATGTACATATATGATACGTGCCTAAACAGAGAAAGTCTCTCGAATTCGAAATATTTTTTTTTCTTCATCAGAGTGCCAAGATGTTACTTGTCTTTGAATTGCAAGCGATTGAAAATAAAAAAGCTCTCCGCCCATCAAGCTCGCTATGAAATAACGTAGTCAAGTACGAAATGAAAAAATAACGGAATTTAACTATTTATATAAATTCAAATAGAACGTACAGTTTCAGAATTAAATCAAAAGAGAGCTTAATTAAATATTGCAACAAAAATTTGCTACATTTTTTAAAAAATTTCTCCGACAAAGATATTATAAATATTCGAAAAATAGAATTATTGATAAATTTGTAAAACATTTAGAAAAAGAAGTAGAAGAAATATTATGCAATTTGTGTTAATCAGCTTTACGTCATTTTTTTCGCGATGTAAAAACAAAATTAATGTAATGACGCCTTCAAGCAAGATTTCAATGTACAGGTATCGATAAATCTTTAGCCAATCGCGTATTCGCTAGATAAAAATAATCCAGTATATTAGATCGTCACATCACTGGATTTTATTTTTACACTCGCAAGTCTCGTACATGAGATATAAATAAATAGTAAAAAAAAAAAGAAAGAAAAAGAAATGATTGTACGACAACGACGGATGATATTCCATAATATCATTAACGTACGTCGAGATAATAGCATCTTTGCCACCGACGGATATAGGTGGACGCATTACGTGCGGACAGCATCTTTTTCCGGCATATGCTAATCTAATTAATGGTTGCACGGAAACCCGCTTGTTGTATGTACACGACATATGTGTGTGAGTGCATGCGAATGCAAGTAGCGGCGTATTTATTATATACGGTTCGGAGTCCTCGAGATTCGCTCTCTATCTCTCCTTTTTTCCTCTTTTTTGTTGTCCACGAAGCTTTTAAAATACCAATTTTCGATAATTATATTTCGCATATTCAATTACATATAAAAAAATAAAAATATATGTACGTTATTATACAGAATTTAATATTAACTGCAATAATAATTCAAGTTTTTCATGCTCGAATTAATTTTTTATCAATGCCCTAAAGCAAAACTGAGTAATATAAGTGCAAATATTTGTAACACTCTACCTTTACGGTACAATGGTAATTTAAATTGAATATTACGATGAGCAAACAATTCTCTCTCTTCTCTTTTTCTCCCCTATACATGTATTTTATTTTCCCATCAGATATTATATTTAAAAATTTTCTGAAAAATCTATATCCTTTTTTTATTATAATTTAATGTAGTAGAGAAATTAGTTTCATAAAAGTAATAATAAAAAACTTTCATATTTTACTATAAATTAAAATAAAAACATTATTGACCAGAAGGCAGACACATACATACAGAAAAATATATATCAGCATAAATATTTTGCATATGCAAAAACGTATAGATAACAAAATCTTCTCTTAGCTACATAATACAAAACGCAAGATGTGGATAAAACCGGATTATCTTTGCGCTCTCGATAACGAGCCAGTTAGAAGGTAAATTGCGTCTCAAGCTAAGAAAATTATGCATAAGAACTGGAACGCGACACGTGAATCGCTTATGAGATAATAATTAAGACAAGCTGATCGATTGAGCGATTGAACTGTACGATGCAGTGATAAACTAATGTTATGTATAATTATTTCCGGATAGACTTTATTGATGGAATAATCTTAGCGGCAGGTGAATAGAATTCATAAACGTTTCGCATTTCACTTTGAGAAGTTACCTATTTATTTTTACCCGTCATTTTCAACAGGTTTTATCAGCCGTTTTGATCGCCAGGAAGTCATTAGTCCCCTTTTATGACCTCTATAATCTTCTCGGGCAGCGCGTTTTTTTTCCCTCTAATCCGAAT